ACATCAGCATCTTCCTTGAAAGAATTACGACTTAAAAATGAAAATTGGAAGTTTTTGTATTAATCGTACGAATGAATAATACTATTGTCATCAACTTTTTGTGTTTGCTCACAATCGTTACTGTTAATATTCTTGCGTCTTAACTGCCTCGTATGTGTCCATAGGACATTCTTGGAATTTGTCTTCATTTCTCTTAAATTGTCTTCATTTCTCTTAATATAATTTTGACGGTCCTCGATGAGATGGTACCGGATATTCGGAAAGTACGAGGAAATCCCATTGTACCATAGAATTGTTTTATTGGAGCTAGTTAATCCCATCAAAATCACGTTAAATCCTTCAAAAATATCAGTCTTCTCTTTTTTTAAAATAAGGGGATTTGTTGAATTGCGAAATCATCTTTACATTTATAACCCCAAAGTTAAAATTAACAAATACTATTATCATTGATATTACCTCTCGCAGGGTAGAATAGTAGTCAGGAATGTCCTAATATTATTGTTTTTAGTTTCTTTTATCCGGTTTATTTGTCAATTGTGTCATAATTATACATCAAGGAAAGAAAAGCAACGCATATTTTTTCCCGATGGAGTATGGAAAACAGCAGTTATTTAGCTGGTGGGAGGAAGATAGTGGAGTTCAGCTATACACTCAAGCATTGCAACTGTTTTGTTGGACAAGAAATGAGGAAATAAAAACAAATTTTGACAGTTAGTAGACATTAACGACGCCCGGTGGCTGAGTGGTAGCGCTGCGCGCTCTGCTCCTGCACCCCAGAGCCCAAGGTCAAGAAAACTGAGATGGGCACAGTAGGCTTTGGCCCTCTATGGGCTGTCACGCCACTGAGTTTAGTTTTTTTAGTTTAGTAGACATTAACAAACGCTTAAAACTTCGCTACTGAAAAGAAGGGTGGGTCCTAATTAACACAAAAGGAATTCTATTTATCAATTACATAATGTTAAGTTAGATCAAGTGTAGAATCTCCCACGTTAAAATTTTAGAACCCAAAATGTAAGGTCAAAGACGTAGTATCTAATAAAATAAAATAAATAAATAACTGAAAAGGAGTATCTTGGTTTTGATTCTCGTTTCCATTCGATCTTTGTTTTTATTTTAAAAAGTCATCATGGTTTTGATCCTTATCATCATTCGATCTTTGTTTTTATCCTGAAAAATCATCCTGGTTCTGATCCACATCCTCATTCGATCTATGTCTTAAATCCTGAAAACTCATCCTGGTTCTGATCCACATCCTCATTCGATCTATATCTTAAATCCTGAAAACTCATCCTGGTTCAGATCCACATCCTCATTCGATCTTAGCCATATATCCTGCAAAGTCATCCTAGTTTCCGGAGGACATACTGACCTCTCATAAAAACTAGCATTAATGAGATGATTTTACATTTAAAGTTTCATATTTACTAAGTCTACTTTTGTATGCTCGTTTCCAGGCACCTCTAATATAAAGTCTGTTGCAACTGAAAACAACGCCTAACATCTTTTATAGATTTATAACATAAAGATTTCAATGAAATGGAGTGTTTTACCTGGATTTAAAGCTCTATTATATCCGAAACGCATCCAACCTTCTTTAAAATCTTAGAAATTCCATTTTCCTGGGGGAAAAGAGTTTTGGAACAGTTTTGGTCTGGTTATTCTGTAGAAACAGTATTCTACTAAAGATTACCCAAGCTATACTCAAAGAGTTAAAACTTGATATTATAACAGGTTTTTCGGAACATCTCAACTACATAAAGTTGTTACTGGTTTATTAAAATAAAAATCTAAAATCTAGACAAAACTACTTGTAAAAAGCAAACTACATTTCCAAAGATTTCCTCGTTTTTCATGTATTTATTCCTGCGGGAATAAAATGGTAGTTGCGCAACCTTAAGTAAATAAAAATTCGAACTTTTCCACCTTAAGGTTACGACAAAATAAACAGGAGCCTTTCATGCGTATGTCTTGTTGAGAAATTTCGGAAACTTTTATATTTATATATATCATCATAAAAAAGTTCAGTTTTTATTTAAAAGCTTTAGAATACACCCATACTGATAAAGAAAATAAAAAATGAGATTTTTGAAAAAGTTGTCATAAAAACATGAGATACGATTCTGGAAATAGAACATAAATAAAAGTAGCTCAGATATTTCTTCTTTTTTGAAATGATATCAAATTTTCGAGATCTCCGGCGGTCTAACTGGTACTCCAGATTTGAGACGAAATTCCATTATCTACTCTCTAGGCTGCCGTAATATTTACTTAAAGTATTTTTACTTTCAATTTTGTTTTATTTATTGGAGGTATATATGTGCTTTTGAATAAAGTGAAGTTTATAAGATTTTTTTCTTAAGAAAAGATTCCAGTTGGATGCTTGTAGAACACACATTATTTTGCTTGTTGCAATTTTACCCATCAGCAAACGCTAGTAAACATCTTTAGGAGATTTTTTTAACATTATCTTGTTACAATTTGGCTTAGTTTTCTCTTTTTTTCACTATACGTATATAGTTGTCATTGCCAAAAAAGTAGTACTAAAATCTAATGGTTAGATAACTGTTGTTGCGGAGAGAGGAATTTATATTGACAAAAAGAAGTTTTGTCTATGATTCAATTAAAAATAAATATCTTAAATAGATTAATAAGTATTTTTTTTAAAAAAAACTAGGAAATGAGTTGTAAACAATCATTGGTATTTGAACAGTACAATTATATAGCGATTCGGCTCTCAATTGCATTCCTTTAAAATGATTATAATTTTCAGAGATGTCAAGTAGTAAGTAGAATCGGTACTTGCAACTCGAGAAGAAAATAAGTAGTTATACCTAACCATGTCATTTTAAGTCAGATTTAATTGGATACATGTAAGTCAAGCCACGCGTGTGTATCGAACCTGATTGGCTTTTGAATCGACAAGTGACGTGATTTACCTACGATGGCGTCACTTGCTGGTATTCTATTATTGAAATATAAATTAAAATAGTTAAATAATATGCCAAGAGAAAATCAATGTTAAAAAAATGTTCCGCCATTGGAAAGCACTTTAGGGAGATAAGCAATAATTTAAGTTTTAATAATAATTAATGTTTTGCAAGCCATAATTTGTAGAGTATTGTTCATTACCTTCTAAAATAGAGAAAAGAAACGATTAACCAAGTAGAAATAGTTTTTACAACATTTTGGATTAAGGCTAATAGATTGATTCTCGGATCATGTAATAAGTGACTTCATTATAACGTTGCACATTATATTTACTTTTTGAAGTGTTATACACATGATGCTATTTATCCCCGAACTTATATAGGTTCTGTGAATAACGTTCACAATCTTTACTGTTTTTTATATTTCAAATCTGTACACAGATTAACAATGCCAACTTTTAATGGTTACAATGTTTTTAATTTATTTTATTTATTTTTTTTAAAGTTTTTTAATCTTGTGATGGAGCTACTAAAATTGGTTTTTAACAAAAGTCTGGGTTTAATTCTTAATAGTTGTACTTATATATTACTGGTACAAACACCGTAATATGTTACCACGTTTTTTTAGATTGAGGAGCATTACCTTGTAGCAATCAACCGGAGTCAATGCAGAGCTCCCTAGTCTCAACCGTTGCATGACCTATTCGAATTTGAGGACGGGAACATTCCGTGAGAGAGTATTCTGAGTGAGAAAAGATACGATTAGACGCCCAGCCTTTTTTTTAGCACGAGAATCGAACCCTGGCCCAATCCGTAGTACGTAATGAAGTTACTTTCCACGCTGTTAGCAGATATCTAAAAATTTTTGAAAAAGTTTCTTCAGTATATGACTACCCTTTTTAAAAGAATTCCTTTCAAAAAAGATTCGTAACTGCGTATTTGCTACACATTTATATATTTTTCCAACACAAAAATTAATAAACTCATCATCAGTAACTACTGTATTAATATTGACTTTTTTAGTATTTTGATTATATGTGACGTTTAAAAATTGTATTTTCTGAAAAAATACGTTTTATATTAAGAAAAATCGGTATGCTTTCATGACGGTGAGGGATTCTGTCTGATAATCAGAGGTTTTCTTAAACATATTTAGCTAAATGTAAAATAAAAATGTTTCTTTGAATTTTTAAAAGATAGAAAGATACATGCATGGATATTTGAAGCAAATAACTGCTGGTTTATTCACTGTTAAGCATGATACTACATTTTATTTAGAAGCTTCAAGATCTTTACAAATTTTCTTTCAATATTTGATTTTATGCTTGTAATAAACATTTATGTGTTTCTAATAAATGTATTTTATTTTAGCATCTGACTGTTTCCCTCTGAATCACAATTTCTATTTTATAAGTTATGCTCTTCTATGTTGATACGCATGTTTTTTATGTTGTATATATTTTGCATGCTTTCGCTTCTGTGGATGGAAGGAGAATAATTGCAGAACATATTCTTTGGTTGCAATGCTTATTAAAAATTACAATTAAAGACAAAACGGAAAGATAAAAAAAAAAGTTTTGAAGTTACAATAGAAATTATGATTTTATTTATTTTTTGTTTCCTTAAGACGCCTTCAAATAACTTTGTGTTTATGCTTTTAAATAAATTAATGTTGAAATTTATTTCTAATTAACTACAAGAATTTTATTTCGTAATTAAAACTAGGGCAGTAAACTATTGCGTTTTGCTAACTAAATGTTTATGAAGCTAGCTAAATGCTTAGCAAAAAAGAAACAAGAAATAGGATTGTTAATACGCTCAATTTTTACAGTTTTTGTTAGAATGACAGATTTTTGTTTTGCTGCCATTAATTATTAGTTTTGTATTATCAGTTGAGGATTGATAATGAAGGTTTAAATATATATATATTTAAACTGTGGCAAATACTGTTTTTTTCCAGATTAAAAATCGCATTCCGCCGCACCACCGTTTCACAGAAGCGAAACCATCACCACCATTGACCTTTCAACTCTTCTGAAGCTATTTCCCCTTTCTTTTCGTTTTCTTTTCTAGAACCTTCTCGTTGCATGTTCCACCAACAGAATGGTCGGACTCTGGTGCAGGGTGGGCATGTGCACGTGCAGGGTTCCGCAATCACGAGAGAAGAGTGTGAAAAAGCCTGCATCCACCATTCCGACTTCACGTGCCGCTCGTTTGAGTTCGATTCCGGGTCTAACCTCTGTCTTCTAAGTCCAGATGATTCTTATTCCATCACAGATGGCCTCAGGGCACCCAGTGCCCAGGGACGATATTTCTACGAGAGAGGATCCTGTATTGAGGGTAAGGTTTATTGAATTATACGAGCGGCACTCAGTTTATCCGCATTATGTTACCTAGAACAATATCTGATTTCAATATTAAAATTTTTATATATTTACGTGCATATATATACAGCTTTGGGCAATATAATGATAAAATGAATTTTTATACAAAACTTTTTCTTATCAGTGGTTTGATACAGGTACTCTACCAGTCCCTCTATTTACCCAATGCATAACAGCACTAAACACAGAAACGCCTTATTGTCTTAATGGAAGCTGTGGTGTTTCTGTACACCAAAAGCACTGTCATGAGAAATTGGAAATTGTGGTTTAATATTGTATTGCTCTAAGTCAATCATATATATACAGTAATAAATAAAAATTGTCTTGAACTTGCATGCTTATTTAGCCGATTCATTTTAAAAAAAGAATGAAAATAAATTAAAGAAACTACTTTATAACAATTTCTGGATATAAGTGATAATATATAATAACTAGATCTAGATATAAGATATAATATATATAAAATCTCTAAACATAAAATCCTAAACATCGTTTTTCAAAATGGAAAAATCGGGCCCTAGTTAAAAAAAGAAGAAAAAACGTTATTAAGAAAGATTTAAAACAATGATATGTGAATAAGAAACAGTATCTCCTTTCTCGCTATTTTATTTAGTCAAAGTAGTAGCGTTATTCTGTTTAGTCGAATCACTTAATGTCTTATATGATCATTTTACAATGAGTTATAAAACTTCTATAAAATGCATAAAACTTCACTGATTAATAAAAAAAAAATCGGTTTCTACAAGTTTTTATAGCTATCTAATTCATTTAAAAAAATATTTTAGCTATAATAACAATATCAACGATAAGTCTTGCGTGTGATACGGTTAAAAATACTTCTTAATACTCCTTTGATTAATAAAAATCAGTATTGTTTGTTTTATTAAGGTGATAAAAAACTAGAGGCAAAAATGGCAAAATTATTTACAAAATGAACTACTTTGAGTTAATTCTCTTCTATTACTAAACAGCCAAAGCAGAAGTCCAGTAAAATAAAATAAACACACGATTGTTTTGAATAAGTTAAAAAGTTTTTTAAAAGAACTTACTTCTGAATTTCTAGAGAAATCTGTACAGATGATGTAACATATGATGAAGAATAATATATGATATGATAATATAATATATGATATATAACATGATAATATGGTTTAAGATACATAATGTGATAATATCACATATGATATGATATAACTACCAATTTACTTTACGTCGGCCAATGCTTAAATAATTAATAATGCATCTTTCTTTGTACTCGCTTAATTATGCAATATCTTAAAAATATTTGTATTGCAAAAAATCATATCGGTTTAGATTTTACGCAAGTCTGCAAGAGGATTAAAATTCCTCATTAGAATAAGATAATAAAGTTGAAACATGGCTATTTTTACGAGCGACTTATATCTATTCAATAAGCTACTAAAATACATTAATTTTTAATTAAAATAATCATAAAAATCACTAAGCTTTACTATTTATGTCAACATGCATGCTGTAATTTCCCATTGTCTAAACTACACTAATTATGACCTTAAGACTTTCCATAATTGAATATTGTTGTTTCCATTTTAATAAATGTGGGCTTTAGACTATGAGACAGAAAATATACGTGCTTGAAATAATGACTGTGGATGGGAAAAAACAGCCAAAGTAAAACAGTACTCGGCATTAATAAACAGCTTGAATCTGTTCTAATGGCACGGAAAAATTCGAGTTTTCCTCCGAAAAGAAAAATAGTACAGAGATTCACTAATCTCTTTAATTTATCCGCGGGCAAATACGCGGCGAAAGAAAAAGAGAATAAAAAATCACTCCACACAATAATGCCGCTAGGGACCTTACAAAATAAATTAACTTGTAGCTGGTGATCTCTTGCGTTTCGAATGTATACCCCGCACATAAGTCTCTTTCATTAATAATGGAAGTCCATGTCTTCTGTCCCTTGGGAATAACGCCAAGATACTAAGTCTGAGTTCATTTCAGAGGTTATGTAGAAGTGATCAAAGTATCCGGAGGAATGCTGAGGGATTGTGGAAACTGGTGGAATAATGCTGTTAAGTTCCGAAACATTGTTTGTTTTCAAATGGAACAGTGACTGCAAATCGACGAATTATTTAAAGAGGTCAATTGACAAAGAGTTCGAGCAATTATTCATGATGTCACTGTAAATTAATTTGTATCCCGAAGTTCAAATGTTTGCTTGCGCTAGAAAGTACATTTATAATGTACTTCAATTAATTTAAGGCTGAATGCCCATTTGAGGATTTAAAATTACTAATTTTATCAATGGTTTCTCTTTTGCTTGATTCAGATTGTTTATGAGAATAATCTATTTTGTCTACATTATTTTTTATATTGGGTTGTTCGAAAAGTAATTTCGATTTTTGTTTTCTTCATGAAAATGATTTTCTTGTTGTGGTTAAATATTTTATTGAATTATACATTGTCCATCCTCATTCTGAAACTTTTGCCGCTTGTCTGGCAGTAGCATTGCTCCAAGCTTCTAAAGTTTTTGTTCCTTTCTGAGAAAAAACTTGTTTTGGGTATTTTTGATTTCCTTATTTTAAGTAAAAAAAACAATTAGAAGAGATCCAAAAAAATACTGTAGGCAACTCATTTTTCGTACTCAGAGACGTTGTGCTTTTAAACTGAATCAGTTTCTTGATATTTCAGAAGCAAATCACAGACTTGAATAAGACTCACGCATCTCTCTCCGTAAGAGCATGAAGAACCCTCATGTCGAACATCGATATCAAACTTAAGCTACATGAGTCATCATGAACTGTCGAATTCGAAAACTGTACAGGAGTCTTATGAGTTATTCGCTGGTTTAATTTTTTTATTGTATCTTCATTTAATGCCTTTTTGCATTTAATGCCTTTATTGCATCTTCGTCAGCTTCGAGTATCCTTCTAGAGCATGGTGTATCTTCTACATCAAAATTGATAACTAGTTTTTGATAACTAGTTAATAAAAACTAGTAAACACAATTGATAACTAGTTAATAAAAACTGGTAAACAAAATTGATGACTAGTTAATAGAATTTTGAAACCCAGTTTTGGAATTGACGTTTTGTCACTGCATTTCCCCCATACACGTTGGGCAATTTTTTCCCCATTTCAACAGCATTGTCTTCTTTTTAATAGTGGAAATTAGAATGCTGCTTTACACTTTCCATGTATAAAAGTGCATCAGCCAAAAACTACTACGTAGAATCATTCTAAATTGTTCATATGCAGGATACATAAGTGCACAATGACTATGTGTCTTAAGTGTGACTTTGACTGTGCAAAAATACAATCAAGGGAAACATTTGTTGGGAAAAAACGAAATTACTTTATAACAGCACAATCTACATCGTTGTTTATTAAGTGAAACATTGTCAACGATTTGACGAATTTTTAATTGTGGTCCATAGATAAAGAAATTTTCACTTTTTTTGTACAAATTCAGCTACTTTTGCATGCTTCAGTTTGTGTCGCACTTGAGCTGCTAATTCAATGCGAGTTGTTTCAATTAATTTTATGTTCTATGTTTAATTGAAAATTTACAATTATTAATTTTATCTGTGGTTTATTTTATGCTGAATTCAATATATCACAAGAAAATGAAACAAAGTTTTAATCGAACTACATTATTGTCATAATCACTCTACAGAATTGAGACATTACAAAATAAGCCAGTTTGTAGCATCAGAAATTTCGCATATTAAATGAATATGCCGTAAGTAAATCTCTTTCAATAATATTAGAAGTCCGTGTCATTTGTTTCCTGGGAACAATGTCAAGGCACTAAGTCTGAGTTTATTTGAGAGGTCATATAGAAGTGATCGAAGAATCCGGAGGAATTCTGAAGGATTGTCGAAGCTGGTGGAATAATGTTGTTAAGTTCTGAATCATTGTTTGTCATAAAAGGGAACAGTGACTGCAAATTGACGAATTATTTAAAAAGGGTAAATTGTCTAGGAGTTTGAGCAATTATTCATGATGTCATTATAGATTAGTTAGTATTTGGAGTTAGATCTTTGTTTCAGTGCACATTTATAATGTACTGTAGTTAATTTTATTCAAAACGGGCATATAAGAATTTAAATAATATTTATTTTGTACCTGGTTTCTTTTTTGTTTAATTCATATCTCTTACGATATTGTCAAATTGAAATTCGTCTATTAGACTGGAGTTGCTCCATTTATATTTCATGTGCGCCGGCCATGTGGACTAGCGGGCAGCATGCCTGACTGACAAGTCAATGGTTGCGCGTTCAAATCCATCTCAGGGCACGTTTTACTTTGTGTTGTCCTCTGTTTTGCGAATATGGTCCACCCTATTACAGTGGCATTGTGTCGTGGGTAATGTTGGTCGTCTGTAGTTCTTACTGGATAACATTAAATGAGTAGCACTTCTTCTAGCATCTTCCGAGGGGAAGAATGACGAGTTCAGTTAGTGTCGTTAGAAAAAAATATTTCTTTTGCGAATAAGACACTTGTATTTGCTTAGTTATGTAATTGTTATGCTTAATAAATACATTTCTAAATGACAAAATTTTGTCTAAAACACATGTATGATCTCAATTGCATAAGTTGGTTTAATAATGCAGTAAAACTTGAATTCTTGATTGTTTTCAAATGAAACAACAGTAGCAAATAATTTAAAGTAGTTCGGGGAGAAAGTTTATAAAACTATTCATTTTTTCGTTGTCGTTTCAATTATAGTCTGAGGGATGGAATGCTGCTGTTTATGTCTAAGTCATATTTATAAAGCCTGCATCCAATTAAGTTCTTGAAAGAAAAGTTCATCTGTTTATCTTAAAGTAAATAAATCTGTCGATAGTTTCTCATTTGCTCGATTCATGCTTTTTCAGTGTATAAAATCCATGCACCGGCAACAATTATTTTTCCTTAAGTTATTGCTATTCATTCAGAGTTTTTACTTCATAAAATGTCTTCACTTCATAT